ATTCCCATTCATACCGTAACATTAATGTGCTTTGGATCCAATTTGTAACGCTGAAGGAGTGTATCTCTGATTTTTCTGCAAATTAAAAGAATAAGAACATTTACACTAAAATATCATACTTTAGTAAGTTAATCAGTTTTGAAACCCATGTCACCTGCAATCATGATACCTTGATGTGATCCAAAGGACATGTACAGTCTTTGCTAATTTTTATTGGCTTCTTGACATAAACTCTCAACTCTGCAACATATGTGTACCTTTTCCACATACCTGGCAACAGGGACAGAGGCTGAACTGATTCAAAACAGCCCTTTAGTTCACCTATTTTGCGCTATTAATATCAGCTTAGCATGCAAACATATCCAGGAGTAGCTGTGTTGACCATTTAGCAAAATGCAATAACATCTAAAATCCACAAAACTGCAACACCTTGGACCAACCAAAATGCACAAAATACATGATAGCAAGTATTGTAAGTATTTTAAAAGCAGCTAGAAAAAGGGTTCAGTTCAGTTATTTCCAAACTCTGGTCCTCCATGTGATTTTTACTTCAGCTCCCAGAAATGTCAGCCATCTTGGCCAATGATTTGGGATTCTGGGAGCCAAAGTCTAAAACACCTAGAAGGCCAGAGTCTGGGAATCACTGGTTTAGATGATGATAACTTAGATAATACATGTATACAAATCATTTTTGTATAAGCTACCTTCTGAAAAGGATTCCATCAATACACTTTCTACACTACAAATCTTTGAGACTACACAAAAATATAAGTGGACTATGAAGACTGTTAAGATATACCTTTCAATGGAGTCTTGGTCCACTGGATTATTCCTGTCGTCATGTTTCATTTCAATAATAATCCAACTGAAAAATGAAGAACAACCCATGTCCAGTCAGTCTGTACACTAATAACAAGCTTGAAGAATACTTCAGAGATGTTTAGGCCACCTTATAGAACAGTGTTAGACAGTATTAGAATGTAAGCCTAAGGACAGGAAACATACTGCTACGAATCTTGTGAGTTACTCTGGGAGCTTAATAGCAAAATATAAGCACTTTAAATATATAAAGTTTTTTTTTCTAGACAACTTAAACATAAAAAAAGATAAACAGAATGCATGAGTTATATTTTAAAGGGATCTTGTAGCACCTTTGAGACTAACTGAAAGAGAAAAGTTGGTAGTATGTACTTTATTAGACTTGGGCCTACTTCCCACTTTAAGATTTCAAACAGATCCAAACATTTATGCAAACTGTGAATATTTATACAAACTGTGTATAAACCATTACAGTTATATATTTATATCTTCCCACTGAAATTGTTTGGTGAAAAATACAGATTTAACGGTAATAGCAATTTCACATTAAAAGACTTACCTTGTCCTTACTACCTCATTGCATGTGATGTCTTGATCACCTTTTTCAGTTCTTCGTACTCCAGCAGAGTTCACACACCAGCAAGTGTTTGTCCCATTACATTGCTTAGCTTTGAAGTTACCTTTGCTATCGCATTCTGGGTTATAAATGCCATCATTATCTACATATGCAGTTTGTGGTTTTGACCTTCTACCAGTCACTGTGCCTTTCACTTCAGCTTGCATCAGCAGACATTTTGATGTCACTAAAAACAAGACAGTAAATATCAACCTTAAAGTTATCAGACTTTCCATTCCAAAATGTAAAATAAATGTATTTTGGGATGGAGCAACACATTTCCATTTCATATTCTGAACTGTAAAGCAAGCTTTCTAGGCTTTCTTGTGCTCTTGTACTTACATGTTGCACAGTCCACTGTGACATTAGACCCGTACAATTTACATCTGCAGCTGCTGCCAATTTGAACACAGTCTACTGTCCGTTTGTTCTTCTCACACAGACATCCTTCTGTAATATTGAAATCCATCAGTTAGAAAAAGTACTTAGTTACAATTTTTAAAAACACATACAACTGTCATTAGGTTTGAGTGAGAAAGAAAATGTATTTCACTGTATCTTTTACCACTTAAAAGCACTGGAAACAAGTAATGTATAAATTCATAACCTAGCAGAAAGGATATTTACATTCTAATTGAGCTTCCATTATAAGGTAGCTTTGAGTTTTTCACTCTTTAAGGGCCAGTTCTAAAATAGTTACACTACAAAACTATTTGTATTGTAACAGTGTTGTAAATGTTATACAAACCCTTGCCACATTGACCCGAATCCAGCAGAAGCAAGGATCTGACTAATATGACTGTTCTTTAGCAATCATGTATGACACATTCCAACACAACAATTTTATATTTTTGCTTTACTTTCAGTTATATAGCTACAGAATAATTATACTCAGCTCCTTTGACACATGTATAGATTGCTATGGGACTGTACCTACCAAGGGCTGTCTACATTAGCCCTATACTATAATGCTCCCGCTACAGGTGCAAGTTGCTCTAAGATCAAAACACCTTGTTGGGAATGAGATGCTCAGCCTCATTCTGACCTCAGACAAGCACAGAGTGACTTGCAAGACCAGCTGGTAAGGAGGGGATGAATTTGGGGGGAATGCAAGGGGCACAATACTTTCTGCAACACAATTCACACATCTGGCAAAAGCAATCTGCCCCTCCCTCCCTCAGCAGCAGTCTATTGATCAAGGGAAAAGAATGCCATAAAGAAGAGAATGCCATCTCACTTTGGTCTTGCCAGCTTGTTTGGTGTTGTTAACTGCCTTTGAGTCAGCCTTGGAGACTCCTGGAGACCCTGTAAATGAGGCATCTCCAGGACCCCTATTCTCAACCTCTCAATGGGTCCTGAAGGTTCAGGCCTGTGACCTTCCTGAGTCTAGTCATCTGGCAATCGGTCTTCCTCTCCTTCTACTGCCTTCTACCTTTTCTAGTCTTACTGTCTATTCCAATGAATCTTTCCTTCTCATGATGTGGCCAAAGTACATTTTGGTCATTTTGGCTCCCAGGGAGAGTTCAAGCTTGATCTGTTCTAGGACCCATTTGTCTTTTTGGATGTCCATGGTACCTCAGTACTCTTCTCCAGCATCACATCTCAAATGAATTTATTTTCCTCTTATTTGCTTTCTTCACTGTCCAGCTCCCACATCTGTACATGGTGGTGGGGAATACAATGACTTGGACGCTACTAACTTCAGTGCTCAGTTATATATTTTTACAATTTAGAAAATTGTCTAGTTCTTTCATAGCTGCCCTTCTCATTCCAGTCTTCTTCTGATTTCTTGACTCCAGTCTCCGTTCTGATGAATGTTTGCCCACACACAACTCCAAACTGACACAGTTTTGTGACCAAGGCCACAAAAGTGTATGCTAAAATTTTCTTTCTCCCTGTTAGTCTCAAGCACAGAGGCTTCTTTGTGTTGATTTGTGCTAAAACATTGCTATCTGTTTTAATGGTACCACTCCAAATATATACTCCTGGGAGAATATGAGCATTGGGAGAGAAAAAGAGCCCTCCATTGCTTCTGGGAGAAAGACAGCATACAAATGAAATAAAATAAATAAATAAATCACAGGATGAAAGCAAGGCAATCTGATTTCGGTCTTCAAGGCATTCCCTCCCAGAAACTGCAAATGTAGCCGACGCTGACAATTTTTGTATTCAAGCAGACCGATTCTGTTGTCCGTAATGTGTGGGGAAAGAAGAAAGTTAAGCAAAGCAGTTTTTAATGCTGCTGCCACAACTGTTTGTCCTTTATTACACAATACTCCTTGATTGCTTCAAGGAAGTGTCACCTCATCAGCTATATTTTAAAGCCAATTCCTCTTGGGACACCACAGGAGGAGCCTCCTAACCTCAACCTTTGCAACTGGGAGAAAAAGTCCCTTTCAAGAAAGAGGATCTTTGGAAAGAAAAATTCCAAAGGCCATGTTAGTTTAGTCTCTTTATTAAGTCAACCAAAAGAGGACAAGAAAATATGTGCAGAATTCCTCTACTTGGGTTTGAATGTGAAAGTCCAAAAATGTCAGGACAAAGAATTTTGTAGGTAAGGATGGAAGAGAAACATTCTGGGCAACTACCTTCACCTTTGCTGTTCCTATACCTACAAAACATAAAATGGATCTCAGCTGCTTCCTGGGTAAAAAAGGGGAGGGGTCCTGTCTGATCTTGGAAGCTAAACAGAGCCAGCCTTGGATACTATTTGGATGAGAGAATGCCAACAAATGCCAGATGCTGCAGGCTATACAGGGCGATTAAAAAAGGATGATGCAAAACCAAATAAAATCAGCTTTACTTCTGGACCATTCTTTTTGAATCACCCAGTATTTCAGAGGAAGGAACTGGGAAAACCCACCTCTGAATATTTATTGCCTATGAAAACCCTATGAACATAAGTAGTCATAAGTTGACAGGTGACCTGAAAGTACGATACACACACACAAACATACAAGACAGATCTTTAGCTGGTGATCCTATAGACCAGGGTTTCTCAGCCAAGATCTCCTGAAAGATAAATATTAGGACAAGAGGTTCCTAGGGATTCCACAACAGATTGCGATTGAAAAATTACATATATAAACATTTCTGAGCTGTTGAGATAATGGTTTCTATGCAGCAATTCGCTGGAAGTTGAAAATTATTTCAAGCATTCCTCCATGAAAAAAAAGGTTCAGAAAGGCTATGCATAGATAGCATCCACTGATGTTTGTTTGGTTTTGTAGGACTCTTAGGGTTCATCCAGGGGTAGGCAACCTTTCCCCTTTAAGGGCCGAGGGACTTCAGCTCCCAGAATCCCAGGAGCTATTGGCCAATATGGCTGAGGCTTCTCGGAGCTGAAGTCCCTCAGCCCTTAAAGGGGAAAAGTTGCCTACCCCTGATACAGCTTGACAACACTTGAATTATCATGGCTCTATTCTACAGAATCATCGGATTTGCTGTTTTGTGAGGTATCAGCATTCTTTGGCAGAGAAGGCTGAAGACCTTGTAAAACTACAAATCCCAGGATTCCATAGGATGGAGCCACAGCACTTAAAGAGGTGTCAAACCATATTATTTGTACAGTGTGACACAATGGTTTGAGCATTGGACTATATCTCTGGAGACCAGGGTTCAATTCCCTGCTCAGCCAAGGAAACCCACTGGGTGACCTTGGGCAAGTCACAAGCTCTCAGCCTAAGGGAAAGGCAACGACAAACCTCCTCTAAAGAAATCATGCCAAGAAAACCCCATGATTATGGGCCACTATAAGTCAGAAATATATTGAAAGCACACAACACACACATATGCTCCCTCAGGCACTGGTGAAATCATACATGCTGATGCCCCATCAATCTTTGCACATGTCCTAGAAGACCCAGCAACCCAAACAACAACCCCACTACTGTGTACACAGGTTTATATCATCCACCTGGAGCGAATACTTTTATGTTGTTGTGTGCCTTCATTCCAACTTATGGCAACCCTGAGGCAAACTTGATTTTCTTGGCAAGTTTCTTCAGAGGGGTTTTGCCACTGCCATCCTATGAGACAGAGAGTGTGAATTGGCCAGGGTCACCCAGTGGGACACATGGCCAAGCAGGGATTTGAACCCTATTCCCCAGAGTCATAGTCCAATGCTCAAACCATTACAACACTCTGGCTCCTACTTCCCAAGCACTGATATCCTTTTATTACACAGCAGCCCATAAGCCTTGAGAGCTAGTGTGGTGTAGCGCATTGAGCACTGGACTATGACTCAGGACAGCAAGGTCTGAATCTCTGCTTGGCCATGAAACTCACTGGGTGACTTTGGGCAAGTCACACTCTCTCAGCCTCAGGGGAAAGCAATGGCAACCCCACCCTCAGAAGAAACATGCCAAGAAAACCTTGTGATAGGTTTGCCTCAGGGTTGCCATTAGTTGGAAACAACTTGAAGGCACATAACATACACAACTTATAAAACCTCCATCAGTTTGTACTATCATAGGTCACCTCAACAAACAAGGCCACCTTTTCTCCCAGAAAGGCTATAGTCCTCCCTCCATATCCACAGATTCTTCATCCACAGATTCAACCATCCACGACTTGAAAATATTCAAAAAACATAAGAATTCCAAAAAAGCAAACCCTGATTTTGCTATTTTATATGAGGGACACCATTTTACTATGCTACTTTATATAATGGGATTTGAGCATCCATGGATTTTGGTATTCACCAAGGGTCCTGGAAGCAAACCCCAGCAGATACCAAGGGCCACCCAGTCAGGCGAGTGAGTCACCCAAGTGCCACTCCCAGTTTTGCTCAAGCTATGAAAACTCATTGGGTGACCTTGGGCAAATCATACTGTCTCAGCCTCAGAGGATGGCAGTGGCAAACCCCTTCTGAAGAAACATGCAAAGAAAACCCTGTGATAAATTCACCACGTATCGAAAACAACTTGGAGATACACAACGCACACACACACATACCCCACAAGTCTTGGTATGCAAAGGGATCTTGCAGCACCTCTGAGACTACGGCTGCATCCGCAGTGCAGAAATAATCTGAAGCTGCAACTAGTTACCATTCTCAGAGTTCCACAGCACTAAGCCATGGCAGTTAGTTGTGTCAAACCAGATTATTTCTGAATTGAGGATGCAGCCTATAACTGAAAAGAAGAAGATGGTAGGATGAGCTTTGGTAGACTCGGATCCAAAACACACTGCAGAAATAATCCAGTTTGAGACTGCTTTAACTGCCCTAAATTTCTCACAAAACTACAGTTCCCAGAATTCTTTAGCACTGAGCCAGGACAGTTAAAGTGGTCTCAAACTGGATTATTTCTGCAGTGTGTTTTGGGCCAGAGAAGGCTAAATGTCTGACAAAACACACTGCAGAAATAATCCAGTTTGAGACCGCTTTAATTACCCTGGCTCAGTGCTAGGAAATTTTGCAAATCATAGTTCATTATGGCACCACAGCTCTCTACCAGAGAAGGCTAAATGTCTCACAAAACTACACCTCCCAGAACTCCCTATCATTGACCCAGGGCAGTTAAAGTGCTCACAAACTGGATTACGTTTCTGTAATGTGTTTTGGACCTTGAGCCTGCTTCCTTAGATGCATAAGAAACTTTTATGTTTTGGAGAAGTTTTCTGGAGAGTAAGGAGTGTGCATGTTTCAACAAAGGCAAAGTTTTCTGGAGAGAAAAGGAATGATGAGGAAAAGCCATGAACACCACAGTGGCGCCATCCAGACTGTGAGATATAATTTCCTAAGTACCAAAGTACCAAATCAAATTAATCAGGACAAAACAAGTGAAGCAGCAATATCCAATTTATTAATTACAATCTTGCAAGAAGGGGTCTCCATGTAGGCACACCCCAAAGTTGACACAGCAAGTTTTAATCCCTTTTCCTGTCAGTATTTTTCCACCCTCGTGACTTTATTGGCTGAAGTAATCAAAATATACAACAAATCACAAATGCCTAAAATGAATACACTATCTTCGCTCCTGTTTACACCTCCCACCTACTCAAATTCAAAATCCCCTCACCATATTTACAGACCTCCTTTCAGCAAAAGTGAAACCTGTGCAATTAACCTAAGCGTGAACTGTGATTTCATCCCAAAGTCTCATTATTAACTGTTCATCCTCCCTTTCATGTTTGCATTATCTATCTGTTAGCTCGATAACTACAAAAAACTTATCTGCCAAAAGTTGACTGTGTCCACCTAATTAGTGTTCTACCTTCTCTACAATGTTTGTGTGGAATTCAAAAGATAAAACTTATTTTTCATCCAGTGGGGCCCTGGAATCCAAACTCTTACTGGGGTGGGGTGGGGTGGGGTGTATTTTTATTTTATTTATTTTTTATTTGTGGAGTATTTATATCCCGCTCTTCAGCCACAAAGGCTCTCAGAGCGGCTTACAAATGGTTAATTAGATGGGTTCCCTGCCCTCAGGCTTCTGCCTTTTTATATTAAAGACCCATCTAAAGCCTAAACTCCTAATTCTGTTTCTATTAGCTTCCTATATGTGTATATATTTATATACATATACGTATATAAATCTATATATACAATTGTCCCTCGTAACTCTCAGAGGATCTGTTTTGGACCCCGCCGCAAGTTACAAGGGTTGCATATATTCATGCTAATGGTGGTTGCCCCTCCGTGAATTTCCAAGCCTGCAGATTTCAAGTCTGCGGACATGTAGGGGTGACTGTATATATATATATTTGTGTGTTAAATCCAAATACCAACCATTTCTCTCACAGGCCTTTGGGGCAAATTGTTTGCCTCACTACTCCAGGGCGTTGCCACCACAAGGCCTCAGGTAGCCCCCCAGGAGCCTCAGGGGCAGCCAGCCCCACAAGTCCAACAACCCCCTTCCTCACACTTTTTATTAATTTTTAACATAGAGAAAATAAAAAAGACATAATAATAAATAATAATAATAATAATAATAATAATAATAATAATATTTCTATTATCGCCCAATGGTTACCCAATCCGGGCGGTTTACAAGTTAAAACAAATTACAATAGCAAGATATCCCTCCCCCCCTTAAAACAGTATTAAATAGTGATACAATTAAAACATCAAACAATATAAAATGAATTAAAAATTTAACAATTAGCAATTAAGAATCGTAGCAGGTAATCTCCTTGCTACTTTTGAAGAGGAGCCCGGATTGAAAGAAGGACATACATATACATAGAAAATACATATATCCCTACATATCCCTATCATATCTAAACCCACCTTCTATAATATTTAGTATCTTTTACAAAATGTGTTCTTGTTCTATCATTTCTAACTATCATCTTATCTCTAACTTCCTATACTAGAAGAACTCCATATTACGTAATACTACATATCCTTTTTTTAACAAACTGAACTGTTCTTATCTTATCACATATAAAAAACCAATCTAATTCTACTAATAGAGTATTAACACTTATTATCTTAAAGTATATATACATATATAACCGCTTAACATATTTATTTAGTATTTATTTAGTAATCATTTTTATCAATACTCACTACCCCATTGATCGCTTATATATTTCAATAACTGTTCCCATTCCTTTACATATTTCCTCAATGTCTCACTTCTCATTAGAGACATGTCAATTTATCCAATTCTGCCATATCTAATAACTTTAATAACCATTCTTCTAAAGTTGGTAGCTCACGATGTTTCCATTTTTGAGGCCAACAATAACTTAACTGCCGCTGTCATATAACAAATTATTCTTACATTTTCCCCCAATTGTTTTTTTTAAATATTTTTAAGAAAAGGGGGAAAAACATATTTCATTATGTAAGTTCATGTGTGATGGTCAGGAAATAAAACAAAAAAATAATTTGTTCTCACATTCATTCAGTAAGCATTTCTTCATTCTTCGAATGATTTCAATTTTTGTTTCTTGACATTTACTTATAAAACTATTGATATTTTATTATATCAAAGTGAGCAAAATGATGTGTATCAGATAGGACAATGTGGAATAACACAGTAGTGATAATATTTATATTTGTGTTGTGGTAGGCATAATTATAGTAATATTTAAATTACAGTCTTAATTTTCCTTTGAACCTTATTTTGACTTTTTT